CCCTACACGCACTGTCCGCACCTTTATTAGCACTTGGTGACATGACATCCTCACATCGGTTCTTCCTTTGGTTCTCTCTTCGGTGTAATCATTCCACAACTAATTTGCTGCAACGGAGAAAAGAATGGCTTCATTGAACCCCAACCCAATGAGCGAAGGCCAACCAAATTCGAAGGATCGTAGCAGAAGGGAAAGCTGCTTGTTTGTCCACAGCCAAGTAAGCCAAATGTACTTATCGGAGAGAGACTTTCAAGCGAGTTGGGGCTGAATTGAGCCAACTCTGGCTGTGGATAAGGGCTTGTAAGCTGAAATTGTGCGGTTGGTGTAGGGCTGGGTAGACAATATCTGGCACGGTGGATATATCTTGCAGATGGGACGCCGTGGTTATGCCTGCCTTCATATGTAGAGATAACTGATTTCAGATCTTCCGAAGCTCTCTCGACTTGTTTGCGGACAGAGCATCCGCTGTGCGCGCATTTGTAGTAGCATCTGCATCGCAGGAGGAAGAATGACGAAGGCTTTTTATTTTTATTTGATTAATTTTGAACGGTATAGAAATCATGTAAAATGAAAAACCAACAAATGGCGAAAAAAATAAAAACAGCACCTTAAGATAATGAAGATGACGATAGAACATTTTTCAAATTGGACCTTCTATGATGTGGAAATGAATTAACATTGGAATACAAAGCTTAGTCATTTTTAAATTAAAAATTTTGTGAAGTAAATTCAAGAACATTTGTGTGTAGTTTTAAGTTTATACTCTGATTAAAAATCTAACGGAGACACAACTAATGACACAAGAATCAATAAGTTTGAGTCGAAATGAGCACAAATGAAGCAATTGAAATATAATTAGAAGCTTCAAAGAATTAATTGAAGTGCTAAGCAATCTCCAGAGTCGGCATGCTTCTAGTCGAATCAAGCCGCTGGACGGAGGAATCAAATGAGTCTAATACTATTCAATTATGAGATTATCAGAGCACTTAAATATTGAAAAAGCCATTTGTGATCAAATAGGTCAACAGGAACGGTCTAAATACAAGTGTTTAGATTTTAACTAAATTTACTAAAATGACATTCCCAATACTTTATAAATATTGACCAACCAGGGGTGCAAAGGAAGCTTATCAATGACCCCCCGTAATCTTCTTCAACTATTACTAGCGGTTGCTCTTCCATACACCAAATGTTACAAAATATGTCTTCCTGTTGTGGACTTCAAAAATTTGATGCTCTCACCTCTTTGAAAAATTATTGCATCAAGACGAGCTGCGTTCGAATTAGGTGTGGATGGTAGTATTTTAGGTGTTATTGGTGGTATTATGGTAATATAATGGTAAAATAATATCACAATACTATCAATAACGCATAAAATACTATCAGCCATACCTACAGTATCCAGATGTAATAATCCCTCCACCTTCCTTTGAAAAAAAGATAAAAGTAAAGAAATGAGTGAGAATTAACCATGAGGTTTCAATTTAAATTTTTAAAAGGCAAATTAAATAGTAAATAAGGCACTATCTAAAAATTTTGCAATTAATTTTTGTGATGACTTTATAGATTTAGGGTTTGAGGTTTCTCATAGACACAAACTCTTACAGGTAATTACTCCTTCTGGTAAAGCTATATCCCACTATCACAAACAATTCAGTTTAGAAGATATAGCTCCACTACTCGGGTGCAGTATTTTGGAGCACATCATGGTCAACTCATAAATAATTGTGTTGCTACTTTATTTTCTTAAGAAAACAACAGAAATAAGGCTATTTTGCGTCGGACAAAACTGACGCAAAGCAGCGACAAATCCGACGATAATATGGTGTTAGCGTGAGATTTGCATTAGTCTTGTTTTCATGAGCCAAACAGGGGTTGATAAAGCAATTTACGTCGATAAGGGTCGACATAAATAGTTTTCATCGGATTTCCATCAGATTTGTGTCGCCTCATATCAAACACAAAAATAACATCGAATTTGTGTCAAAACATATTGAAGAGCAGTGAAAAATAATTTTTGTTTTTACGTCGGAATAGTCGGTGCAAACCTGTAGCACTAAAAAAGAAATAACAGAAAAATTAGATTCGTACAACCTACACACAACAAGAGTATAGTTAACTACTCCTCCTGGTAACAAGAGAGCAGTATTGATTAAGGTTGATTATTCAAGAGTTGATTGCTTGGCATGGCAATTAGGTTTTAGATTATAGCTTAATGAATTATAGCACATTAAACATAAAGAACATGGTTTTTAGAATGATGAAAAACTCAATCAATATCTCAGCGTTTCACCATCCCAATTTATCACAATCTCCAGTTAACTTAGTCAAAAGAGGTAGTCAACCCTACCTAACAAGAAAATTATTATTAGCAATCATAGGTTGTTTTGTTCAAAAAAACTTGCATAACTGAGATAATTATTTTCCCAAGTAATCTAAGTCAATTTAAGCTTACTGAGGATTTTGTGATCTATTAGATTTACTATATGATTCACAACTTAAAGGAGAATATCATTGAGTAGCATACGAGCTGTAGTTCTCACTGTAATACGATAAAACTTACTGGCTAAACCATCCAGTCAGATGATATTGAACAAACCATTTTTTTATAAATTCATTGGGCCAACTCACACAAGCAAAAGAATTGTGTGTGCCCCGTCCTTACAAGGGTTGAATTATATTGAGTGTGAAATTAGTTATATATTTAATATGACATTAATTATTTGTGACTTTAGGTTAATCTTAGGCTTGTAGCCCAGGATAAACTATTGCAAGGGATAAATATAACTTGGCTCTTAGTCTTGAGTAAGAAATTTTCAAATAAATATTTTTGAAATTTCATAATTTAAAATTTGTTTGATTTTATGATAGACCTCTCTAATTTATGATGTGCAATGAATATGCTCATCACAAGGAATTGATTGAAATGTTCATTTGATGATTTAACGTTGTCATGCCATTTCTCAAACCTTAGATGCGAAAAATGGAGAGTTACATTAGACAGTCAACAATTAGTATAATTTTTTTTTCAAAAACTCATAACATATTTTTTTTAGATCTTTGTGTAAATGCTAGGGTTTCCTTAGAAGTGACACATTATTTGACTGGAATATACTGAAATGTGTGCAAGGTAGTTGCAACAGCACTTAAGTGTAGTATTAAATAAGTAATGACTCTCTCATTATGAATGGACGTGGGCAATAAAATTAGTCTAGGAAATAAATAATAGGATAAGAATTTGGAATTTTGATAATCTCATGGGTAAATTAATGCAATTAGTAAATATTATAGTTAATAAGAAGAAAAATATCGCATTCATTCAAATATTAAATGGGCTAGAAAAATGCCAAGGAGCTTTATAGTTTAAGTTTTAAAATTTGATATTTAGGTAGGACTCGTACTAAAAATTATATTTGCGTAATTATATACAGGGGTTTGAACGATACTACTGTAAAAATTAATAGAATTTGTGATAGAATTATAACCATAAAGATTGTTGTTGATACTAAAATGTTTAATGTTATAAATGCTTATGCTAGTTAAGTAGGTTTAGATACATATTCAAAAGAAAAATATTTAAATGATTTAGAAGAATTAATACAAATGATATATCTTGAAGAAAAAGCTTTTATTAAAGGAGATTTAACTGGACATGTTGATAGAGTTGTAGAAAATTTTATAAATATTCATGCTGGCTAAAGTTTTGGGGTGAATAATGAAGTAGGCAGAGACACATTCAATTTTGTTTTAAGTTATGATTTTTTTATTGCAAACAATATTTAATTTAAGAGTATATTATCACTTATAAGAATGAATCAAATAAAATATAAATTGATTATTTTATTATCAGAAGAATTGATCATAGAGAATGTAAAGATTGTAAGTTAAGTAAAAATTTTAATATTTCATATCGATTATTAATTTTGAATTTTAATATAAAGAATTAAAAGATGAGAAATATACTAAAATATTATTATAGAATTAGATGGATGCATCTAAAATATAAAAAGAATTATTTTATGAGTAAATTTCAATATCTTGAAATTTGAGATGTTCATGAATAAGTTAATGTCATGTGGAAAAAGGTAACATGCAATACAAAGAAAGCTGTACGAGATGTACTTGGAGAATCCGAAGCAAAACTCTTATAAAAAAAAGTGGTAGTGGAATAATAATATGCGACAAAAGATAAACAATAAAAAGAATTTTAAAAATTTTATTTTAATAAAAAAACTTGAAGAATTGAAAAAAATATAATGTGGCTCATAGAGAGTTTAAGAGAATAATTTGTGATGTTAAAAAATTTGTCTTTAATGATCTTTATATAAATTAAATATTAAAGATGACGAAAGATATATTTGTAAACTAGCCAAACAAAGATATAGTGAGGATTTAGTTTAAATAAAGTGTATTAATGATGTAAATCAAAAAGTACTTTCTTAGATGAGCATATTCAACATAGGTGGGTGAGATAATTTGATAAAACTTTTATTGAAGATTTTGAAATTTTGATAAACTTTAATGATCTTAATATTTTTAATAATAAAAAAATTATTTTTATTGTTGCATTATGAATACAAAAGCTGTGAAAGTCATAAAGAAAATGAAGTATTAAAAATCAATAAGATTTGGTAGTATTTCAATAGAATTATGGAAATATTTAAGAGACTTGAGAATTTCATAGTTTGCTCAATGTTTTAATATTATTTTAAATACTAAAAAAGTACCTTAGGAGTGGATAATGAGTATTTTGGTCTCTATTTTTAAGAGTAAAGAAGATGCATAAGAGAAAATTAAAGATGAATTAAGTTAATATGTCGCACATTAAAATTATTGGAGAGAATAATTGAACATAGGTTAAAACGTGATACAAAATTTTCTAAAATTCAATTTTGATATATGACAGGCAAGTCCAAAATGAAAGATATATATTTATTGAGAGGTTTGATGAAGAAGCATAGAAAGAGTAAGAAGAATCTACATATAACTTCTGTTTATTTAGAAAAAACTTATGATAAGCCATAAGAAGTGCATTGATATGTTCTAGAAAAGAAAGGAGTTTATATGACTTAAATTCAAGTCATTAAAGATATGTATGCTAGAGTAAGTACTTGTGTTCATATTTCAGTTGGATTACAGCAGGGTCGACTTTAAACACATATCTTATTGTTTTAGTTATGGACGTTCTTAGTGGACATTCATAGGAGGATGTATATTGGTGTATGCTTTTTTTTTTATGATACCCTTCTTGTGGATAAGATTGGAGAAAACATCCAAAAACTAGGTCGTCGATCGGTTCACAGTCGAACCAGTTGAACTAGCTAGTAAGGCCTGATCTTTTAAATCTTAGATATAACATAATCAATTTGTTTGTTATATAGTTCAACTTATTTTATTTAAATTTATTTAGGGGTTATTTGGACAGTGAAAATAGGTGTGAAATATGTCATATACATTGATTTGAAAGTATTTTTGTTTGGTTTGACGAAAATGAATTGCAGAGTAAATTTTGAAATATTTGAAATGTACTTTTTTTTTGTTTTAAATTGATTTGATATTCACCTAATGTTAGGTAAATTTTAAATAAAGCATATTTGTAAGGTTTTGTCGCCCCCTCGCCACAGCCATCGTTGTCTTCATATACCGCTAGCCTCCACCTCCGACAACTGATGCCTCCTCCTCCCATCTATGCTTTTCGCACGGATCATGTTCATTTTCTTAGATAGCTTCGGTCCATAGTTTTCGTGGAAACGATGACCGATGTCAACCATTTTCATGTACTTAGAATGGAATGCTGGGATTAAATTGTTTGAAGAATGACGGGGCGCAAGATCACGCCAGATCCCAAGCCAGCACGGCGAAGTTAATGTTGGCAGAGCAAATTAGCGTAGGAAACATGGAAAAGCGAAAGGCGGCGGTGTTGAGCTTGTTGCTGAGTTGGATAAGTGGGAAAATCTTTTTCTTTTTATGAAATAATTAAATAAAGAAAATTTCGAGGAAATTAAAAAAATCATAACTAAATAAATAAAAATCACAAAAATATAAAATAAAATGTCCTAAATTTAGTAAAATACAGAGAATTAGAGAAGAATACTATCAAGATAAATTGAAACATAATTAACTTTAAAATTAATTAAAAATAATAAAAAATTGTCAATAAATAAAAAAATGAACGAAATTTGGTTCGCTCATAATCTCTAATCATGGTGACCTCCCCTGACTTTCTTAGGGTCACATGCCAACATTTAATCAAGATATTATAATTTCCTTTAAAATTGAAAACTAAATTGAAAAATAAATAAAATACAAATCATACAAATCTAGAATCAATTGTAAATTAAAGAAAACAGTGAACCCATGTGATAAAATCATGATTTCACTCTGTGGAGTTCAATAAGTCACTTAAACCACCTAAGGATATATTTATAAATTGCTAATTTACACTCTAACCCTTTAATTTCCAAATCATATTTAAACGAGAAAACTACACTTTGAAATTTTAATTATTTGACCCATTAAACAAGTGGAATGAAATGTTTAAATAAAATCTTAATTTTGAAAAGCAAAATAACATGTGAAGGTAAATTTATAAATATTTGAAATGTTAGAAAAATGCACTTTATATCTTGAAAGATCACAAATCATGGTGAAACCCTTGAGTTCAATTTGTCATTTGAAAATTTTTAAATTTTTAAATCTAATTGAAACTTATTAATAAAATACAAAACAACCAAAACCTAATTAAATCCACAATTAGAAAAAAGAGGAAAGTCATATTTGTAATTTTTTTTTTCAAAAAGTAAAAATATATCTGTCCCCGCTTTTAAACCTTTAATTTGAACATTTCGATATTATAACTTGCAAAATTTGAATTTAAATAATCATTAATCAGTAAACAATAAAATTTAGATAATTAAATATGATTAAAGGCTTATTTGTAATTTTCCAAAATTATAAATACACCTTTACTTGCTTTCAAACTAAAATGATCAATCTCATAACCTTAAAGCTTGTCAAATCTTATTTAAAATCATTAATAAAAGGCCAGACAATAATTCAATAATAAAATCCAAATATTTACATGTGGATTTGGGTATATTTGTGACTTTTCAAGAAATTATAAATATACCATTTCACTATTAAACTCAAGGAAAAAAACCATTAAAACGATAAAGTTCAAACAACTGATTCAAATCACTCCTTAACAAAAAAAATAAAAATAGAATTAATAACTTTCACTTTGAAATGAAGTGGTTTAAGTCAAAAATGTTAATTTTTTAAGTATATCCTTATAAATTAGAAATCCTTATAACCGTTAAAACTCCAAATTGAATGAAATTTTCACCAATAAATTAAGTGAACAAAGAAAAATCCAGATATTCAAAAATATTTTCCATTAAATAAATTTCAATAATTTTCAAATAATTAACCCACTTCATAATAAAACGGTAATTCATAAAAATTTCAAAAATACTTAAAATGAATTGAAAATTTTGGAGGTTGTTTAAAGCTTCATTACAAGTATCTTTGAAGAATGATCATCTAATAGAGACATGATAAAAATAGAATATTCCCACCAAGAACTTTAAGTTAATGATCAAGGGCCCAATTGATACGAGATGTGGAAAGATACATTAGTTATTGCATGATATGTCAGTTGTCTAAGATTCAAGGATAAAATACCTGGCTCTGCACTTTCCTTCTCGTTCCAGGGGCACTCTGGTTGGACATGAGCATGGATTTTGTGGTGGGCTTATCCAATACACAATGAGGTAAACATTCTGTTATGGTTGTGGTAGACCATTTTTTTTTCAAGATGATGCATTTTGTTTCTTATTATGAGATGATGAATCTGTCACATATTGATAACTTCTATTTCAAGGAGGTAGTTTGCTTTCATGATATACCTCAGAGAATTACGTCAGATAGAGACATTCATCCTTTCCGGAGAATTAGATGGTCTTCCCGAGCAAACCTTTTATTTGGTGGGTAACATCGATGAAGCTACCGTAAAAGCTATGAACTTAGACGAGGAGAGCAAATTGAAGAAATGACCTTCAATCTTTGTGTACTAACTCCAAATAGTAGAGATGGTGATAGATTCACTAAAAATTAGGTAGGAGAGAGAGTATATTGCTCCAGCTCAGCCTAAAGTTTACAGTTTGACTGAGCATGAGGCTAACGATGCATTTGATGTAATACATACATAGTTTTTATTTCTACACAGTCTTGTAGAATTTTATTTAATTTTGGAACCAGTCATTCAATTATATCTGAGAGATTTTTTTATTGTTTGGGTGTACTTTCTATTATTTTTAATTTTGTTTTATTTATCCTCTTACCCACTAAATAATTATTTGATTGCTAGTCAATCTTGTATTTATCGTATTGAGATTTCTAATGTGAAGTTAGAGTCTGAGCTAATTATATTACTTTTGACTGAGTTTGATGTTATCAAGGGTATGACTTGGTTGAGTAAACATAGAGCTTGTATGTTTTTGTAGTTGAAAGAGCATGGCTTTATGTCTTAGCAGTGAAACAATTTATTTTAGTGTTAAATTTGTAGTATCATCTTTAATATTAGCTCTATATCTCTATAGGTTGATAAATTATGGAAAAAAAAGAATGATGTATTTATTTTTTGTGTGAAAGATGAGACTAAATCCGTTGTGGCTATTGAGGATGTTCTTAAGGTGAGAGATTTTCTAGATATATTTTCTAAAGTGTTGGTGAGTTGGCCTCCTTAGAGAAAATTGGAGTTATATATCGAGGTAGTGCTTAGTACATCTCTTATCAGGAGTTATTGGATAGTGATTTTATCAAGCCTAATATATCTCTCTAGGGTCCACATGAATTGTTTGTGAGAAAGTATGATGGCACAATGTATATTTGCATTAATTATAGAGAGTTGAATAAATTGATCATCAAGGATAAATATCTATTATTCAAAATTGATTATTTGTTTGACCACTCGAAAGTACATCTCAAAGGTTGAATTGAGATCTGGGTATCATCAGTTGAGAGGGAAGAAGAAATATATGACAAAGACAGCCATATATTTTTGTGTGACTAATGCATAGGCTATAATCATGAATGAGCTGAATCGTGTATTCATATCATATATGGATTAGTTTATTATTATTTTTATTGATGATATATTAATGTATTCCATGTTTGAAGACTATCATGCAACTCATTTGAGATTGGTATTGGAGATTGAGATAATATTAACTATATGCTAAATTCTCGAAGTGTCGGTTCAGATTAAAAGTTATTACTTTTCTAGGCCATGTGATCATTGACAGTGATCTTTTTTTTGATTCCGAGAATGTGCAAGCAGTGATTAGCCAATACCAATTATAGTGTTAAAGATTCATAGTTTATTTGACATAGCACATCATTATAGGAAGTTTGTTAATGGTCTTACATATTTTGTAGTTTCTTTAACTAGATTAACTCAAAAGGCAGTTCCTTTTGACTGAAAATCTGATTGTGAAACTAATTTTCAAAATTTAGAAGATTGTTTGGTGTCAGCACGTGTTTTAACTATTTTATCTGGCGTTGAGAGTTTTCAAGTGTTCACTGATGTTTTTTTAAGAGAATTGAGTTGTATATTGAAGCAGAATAGAAGAGCTATTGCTTATGTGTATCTAATCTATTACTTATGTGTATCTAATCAGTCGAAGCAACATGAGAAAATTTGTCCTACTCATAATATGGAGTTAGTAGCTATTATATTTGCATTGAAAAAGTAACATGTAAGATCAATGGAAATCATTAGAACTTGAAGGACATGTTCACTAAGAAGTTATTTTCTTACTGACATTCTAAGAATACTTCTTATTTATTGTTTTATATCAACTACTACACTTTATTATAATTTTTGTTTATAATTATGTCTGCTAAACTCTAGCTCTCTTTCTCTAGCGTCTTCATACATACCACCCAATTTTTTATGTATTTACATATCATACACTAAATTTTACCTTTTATATTTAAACCATCAAAATCTTTAATATCATATCAAAAATACATTTATTTTATCTTTTAAAAAAGAGAAATACATATTTTCATACATATATCAGGTGATATATATATATAAATTAAAATTTTGGTCTTATATAAGCAAATACATGGGAATTAAGTGGCGTGTATGTAAATCTTCCGAATTTTTTTAGGAAGATTTACATACTGGCACATTGCACTTGACAAATGCTGATTTCTATAAAAAATAACCAAGTAAAATGCTGAGAAAGTTGGAGTTGGAGTTAATAAAGTTGAGATTCTTATGGGCAACTGATAAAGATAAAATCTGACATAAGCAGTTCACCTGATATTCAACAACAAGAATATTAAAACATACCTGGGATTTGAGTTTCCTTTAACAACCTTCTGCCCATACTTCCGCCATCGATATCCATCATCAGGGATATTGAGCTCACTGAGTATCTGCACCGAAATCCGAGAATCCCGCAAGGCCCTTGAAGTTGTAGCCCTCTTGCCATTAGAGCAGAGTTCCTGCTTCCTGAGTTTAAGCGGGTCCAAAATGAGTCAGTCTGCCAGTAGATATAAACATAAAAAGACTACCTTTATCTTCATTTATTTCAGACTAAACGGGAAGACAACCTTTTTTTAGATTCCATCTCGTCTTGCTCAATATCACGATCATCAGAGCAGCTGCCATGAATTGCCCCATTCTCTTCCTTGTCATCAGATAATGGGCATGAGGTATCTACTGCCTTCAACACTTCTAACGCAGCAACAGAAGCTGAAGAGTTGCCTCCCAAGCCATCACTCTGTTCTGATCCTGTTGAGAGATTTCCCTTTAAATTGGCCGCAAGATCCCGGCGATTTGAACTGCCACTTCGTGGACCATGAGATTTTTTTGAAGATAGAATAACGGACCGATTATTAGGAGGAGGCTTAGGGTGGTTGTGAGAGCCCTTATAGATTATTTCAGTAATATTGCCCTGATAAGATCGCTCTACCTTCTTTTTCGCGGGACAATTTGGGTAGCAGCACTTATGATAGCTACAAGGAAACTCACAGCCCTTCAGCTGTTTCTGGCCATACTTTCTCCATTTATAACCATCCTTTGTTGGGTCACGTTCTGGAAATGAGAACTCTGCTTCGTGGCCTGTTTCTTCATTTTGAAGGTAATCAGGAGGAGGTGGAGGTGGTGGTGGTGGTGGGATTTCGTTCACAGCCAAGAAAAGAGAAGCTTTTTTATCAGCAACGGTGTCCTGAGTGCTCTCCTGTTTTTCAGTTGACTCCAAAAGCTTGAGATTTCCTTGTAGGGATAAGTTCCTTTGTGGTGAGGTCTGCTCTTCATCGATGGTTGAAACAACCTTTGTGCCACAAAGATGAAGTTGATCAAAATTAGCTAACAAGTCATGCATGCACTTCAATTTTAATAATGGGATAACATATAGAATCTCTAAGGCGATGTTTGCTAGCATAATTTAAATAGGATTTAGTCATGAATTTAGTGTAAATCTAGCCAAACAATAGAAAAACAAGAATTAAAGTTAATGCTCTACGTTCCGTCTCTTTTAGAACGTAAATTCAGATTTAGTGAATCTAATTGTGATGTGGATTTAAGAATTTCTTCCGTGGTCACTCACGAACACATCTCCGTCGCACAAAATCACGTTGCAGTCAAGTACCGCCTGGATGCTAGAGTCTAAATTCAATAAAATGAAATTTGATTTTTATATTTGTTTGAAATGATAAGATATTGCATCTTTTCTTGGTTGAAATATAATGCTTCTACAAATATGTTTATATTAAAGCAATGAAAAACCAAATTAAAAATACGATGAAGAAGGATATCCTCAATAATAAGAAAGTATTATGACAATAAATACTATAAATATTACCATAACCAACATTTTGAAATCTAACTCTCATTAGCAAGAAAATAAAAGAGTAAAACTATCTCAAATTTCAATTAGCTATAATGTTCATAAACGGAATGAAAGTGTGATTGCCTCACCAGTACGATCATCTTTTTCTCTCAAAGGGAATATCCAAAAATCAGAATATGACGAAGTAAAAATAACATAACCTTGCTTATATGTTCTTAACCTGTGGAAAATAAAAGCAGCCAAATTTCCATATTTTATGGCATGGCGAAAGAGGCCTATGATGCAGCGAAGGAAACCAACTCAAAGACTGAAAATATTGCCAAATTACTCAAAAAAAAAAAAAATCAGAAGTGCTCACTATGATCCGAGCTAATATGACCTTGTGGTTAATTGTACAAATATTATTAATAGGAATTGGCTTAAATTGGATGTCTTTGAAGAACAAGATTGGGGTTATACTGGAATATTACTTAGTATTGGAAAATAGTTCCAAAAGTGAGGATAACAAATTACTACTGAGACCAAATACAAGTTTTTTGAGGAGAATAACTGAAACATAAATTCTCTCATCCATTCAGAAAGTATATTCTGAACACTGAAGAGAGGTAAGATTCAGAATGAAGCAGCAAAAACATAGATACAAAGAATTCCTTTCTAAATGAAGCAGCAAAATAAGATTCAAATGTTCTTTCTATTCCTTATCTTTTAATTTTTTGGCAAGAACAAAGTTAAGATAATCTTTGTAAAGAATATAGTAGGAGTGGCTTGTACTAAATAATTGAGGCAAATCACGCTGAAAACTTTCAGCTTAAAATGATACCTAACAAAACTCAACCACTTTACAGCAATGGTAAAATTGCATAAATGCACATGATGTGAAATTTGCAATAAATTTTTTAAAATACATATTATTTTTCTTATCTTTAGTTGTTTAGTTTTATTTTACTCAATTTAATAAATTCATTTAAGGTTTTTCATTCACAATATTTTCTTAAATTATTTAATTTTCTAGAATAACTGCAGAGTAGTAAAATTAGATGCAAGAGAATTTCTTAATAATATTTTTGATAAAAAAAATTACAGATAAAATATTCTTTTTGAATTATCAAAATTTCCTATTAAAAAATATATAAATTAATTTAAATATATATATGAATATCAACTGAAAAAATAATTAAAGTTTTAAATTTAGTTGAATGCAATCTAGTAATATTTATAGTTAATTTCTTTCCAAAAAAATAAAAAAAGAAATACTATTAACATTAGAAATTGATTTATATAAATATCACACAATTCTGATGTATTTACATATCCAACACCTGAACTTTTATATTTACACATATACCCCTCAAAACCTTTACTATCACATCAACAAAACCACTGTTGTTAACTTGTTAAGAATAAAAAATATTTTTTGATGCATAAGTTTACGACACAAAAGTATACATGTATATATATATATATATAGATAGATCAAAGGAACAAGCTAAGAACAACACTTGCAAAATTCTTACCATAGAATTATTCGGAAAAAAGTTTAGGGACTCCTCCACTGAAGTAGGATCAACAGTTGTAGAAAACAACATCCATGAAGAACACTCCCCTGGCAACGAAGAATTAACTTCAAATGGTATCTTCTCTTTCTCACTTGGACTCATATTAACTTCGAACATGTTGAAAGGATCCATTGTAGCCATTTTCTCATCTTCAGTCCCACTCCAGCATGAATTCTGAACATTAAACCCAAATATTTCTGACGAAATGTCACTCGTCCAGTCTAAACCCATTGGCTGTATCTTCTTCTCAAACTCCATTGTGATAGAGGAAGTCTGACTGTCATTTTCTCCGACATCAGGAACTGGACTGAGAACAAAATCCTTGCTGAAATGTTCTGATTTGAAGGTTTTTGGGCTGGGATTGAAAGCTTCCCAATCACCAAAAATGGCCAATTTTTCATCTGTTCCATCAATATGTAAAGTACTCATCATGCCTCCATCAAAAGGCAATCTTGTTTGAAGCTATAAGGCGGATTTAGCCCGAAAACTATAATAAAATCCTGTTTGTAGTGCCAAACCCTAAACCAGAAAGAGAATGTCTAGTAAATATAGTGAATCATAAGATAATAAGAAAAATGGCAGACAAACTGAATTGAAAACTCGGGGAAGAAGATGTCAGGTCCTGGAGCAGTAGTGGAAAAAACACTCGATAGGGCCCCCTGAGCCGCAATAATTTGGCTGCTCTACATGAAGAGAGGCGGCGGTTTGTTAGGAAGGGGGGAGAATTAGAAGGAGCGACGTTACTCTGTTTCATCTCAGAGAAAATTTTGGGAAGGATATTTTTTTAATTTAGTTTAAATGAATAGTATATAATTTGGATCAGAATTTTAACTCTGTATTTTAAATTGGTAATTTAATATATATTTATATTTTCGGTTAATATTTTATATTATTTACTTTTGTAGCATCATAGTTCATAACATCGTATCTAAATTTAATTAAACACAAACCCATCAATTCCTATGTATTTACACATCTAACATATAAACTTTATTTTTTACCTAAATACCTTCTCATCTATACTTAGTATTCACTTTTTAAACACTAATATGTTGATATTCTTTATGTGATATGAAAGATTTGGGCGGTATAAATGTAAAAAAGTGAAGTTCTAGGTGTTACTTTGGTAAATGCATAGGAATTGGTGGGTGTGTTCGTAAATGCCCCTAAATTTAATTAAATTTTTTATTGATAGTAAAAATGGTATTTTCCTTCTATGTTTGTCAAATAAACTATTTCTGAACAACTCATTTATTTGCGTGATATCGAATGACCTAACAACCGAATCACTAAACTAAAATTATTATTAATGATCAAAACTTATCATGAGTTAGGCATATGTTCCTTTCATTTATATAAAAAATTTTTAGTTGCTTATTTGTTTGTGTTATAAAATTATATTGACCATATCCTCCCTTGACACTAGGGTTCTTAAAAAAGTTCGTAGTTCCGGAATAGCTCATGTTCGGGTGATTAAGTGGCTCGTGATCGATTCATTCATTAAGCAAACGAGCCGAACATAAATAAATTTTTTAAGTTTGATTTATGAGAGAACCAAATACTAAAAAACTTTTTTCCGACCAAACACGAGATGAAAGAACATCTGAGCTAGCCAGTGCCGGAAAGATGACCCAATGCAATAGCTAACCCTCCTGCGGGACCAATCCAAAAGAAAGATCTGATCCCATATCATCTCCGACCATCCGAGGGATGCCTTAGAAGTTTCTCATCAATGGATAAGTGTTGACAATATGGCGATATCAACCAACCGACCCATATCAACAAAGCTCAACCAACCGAGTTGATCATGCTGACTCAAAGTCAATTAAACATGGCTAGTCGAGCTAGAAGCATCCGGGCAAGAAGCCCCTCGATGTAAAATATCATAAATGCCACAATACAAAACCTTTTTAAGTGGGATATCATCTTTTTTGTATATCTCTACTATAACTAGTGGAATTATTTTATAAATAAGACATGAAAATTAAAGTATTAGTTATATAAATACTAAAATTTGACAGTTATGTATTTAAATATTCTTTACAAAAACCCTTTGGCTGAGAGGTCCTAATTAAGGATGACAGCATATTTCATAACAAATTTACATTTGTTGATAATGAGGATTTGTTTGCGCGTCATAGGATAAGCATTCTAAATAATCATCCACTTAACTCTAATCATAATTTGGCCGCTATCAAGTTAAAATGACGAGAAGATTAGAACACTTCTAATTTTAATCCTAACATAAGAAAAAATAAAAAAAATAAGATATACATTCAATTTTAAATGCCTATGATATAAATGTACAATATAACTATTGAAAGAATAATATTAAGAAAAATAATATTTGTATAGTTTAATAACTAATAACCTTTAAATTCATCGCATTTCTTTAATGTTAATCACAATTGACAATTCTCATAAGAATCGATAAAACTTGATATCAAAATTAAAAGTATAATTACATTTCCATCAATTTCTAAATATTAACGACCAAACTCTTAAGAAAAATGAAAACATTTTAGAATACTTTGCCCTTCACAAGATTATTTTGATAACATGCTAATTCAGAACAATTGATTCCGTTCTGGTACTTATCATGAAATCACTCGTGCACTCCATATGAAAGTGCTCATCTTTGTGGAGAATCCATGAGATAGCTACAAAACATGAATATGTTCATCTCCTGAAAGCATTACTTTCATGCGCAGAGTTAGCCTGAGAATAATAAGTTCGACGCCGCACGCTCTCCTCGATTGTAGCGCACCCTCCCTCCTCCATTCCATAAACACTCTTCTGTGTTGCATCCAAGAAACTTTTCCCTCCGGAAAAAGTTGCCTGCTTTGCCTCCAACACATCGGCCTCGGCTGCCTTCTTCAACCTCTTCCACCTCTGGTCCTCATGGACCTCAGCATTCATTTGCATCTCTCTTAGCCGTGCTTCCCTCTCCTCCTCCGTCATCTTTGGAACTGTTCGTCGCCGATTATTATATCCACCATTCTGGTTTGGCCTTTGGGAATGGATCTCTTCATTTGATCTTCTCAAATCATAATTATCAGATGTTGCCCTGTCAACATTCCTCCTCCCTTTTCGCTCGCTTTGAACTGCATATTTGTCACCGGAATGGTCTCTGGAACAGTGATGGCGATGGTCGGAGCGTTTATGTCGATCAGAATTGGAATCATTGTTAGAATGCTTAGAATGGCTACGAATTGTGGATGAATGTTTGTCGTGTTTTTCATTATCATCCTGTTTTTCATTTCTCCGATCTTCTTTATCCTTAGCATCACTGTTCGGCTGCCACTCGGATAACAAATCTCGTGGTCGTCTTTGCCGATGAGCTTCATGCTCGGTGGAATATTCAGAATCTGATTGAGATTTAGATGAAGCTTTGTCCTTTGACTTGGTATTATGATCATGCTTGTGTTTATTCTTTTTCTTTTTGTGTTCCTTCTTTACCTGCAGCTGCTTTTTCTCAGAATCAATCTGCAACAAAATGTTCTTTCAAATGGTTAGATAAGTGAACAAGGTTTGTAATGTTCATGGTTCCATCAAAAGAAAGCATAGTGTAAAGTGGATTTTCAGCTTCAAAATTAAATTCCTACATTCAAAAGAAAGCATAACCTTAGAGAATCTTTAAGTTGGCTCAATTATTTGAAAGATAACTCTAAATATTATCATTTATTTGATTCCAAAATAAATAAAAAGCGGTTAAATAAAAATAGTGTAAAGTGCTCAATTATTTTCACAAAATATTATGAGTAACATGACACAAAGTTAAAGAGAAATATCTACTCTTTGATGAATATAGAGACCAATTGCTTTTATTCTAGCATTTTTGAAAAAGTACAAATTCTTAAATATCTCAAGTAACAAAAACAATTGAAATTTACAAATCATATAAGGTAATTCTACTAGAGTCGCATTCATCAATTAAGAAGGCATTTATCAGAAAAATATAGCGATTAAAAAGAAGAGACTGAGTGCTTAATATACTAAATTTACTCAGGTTATTGTTTAGATGACAAATCTAGAAATCAATAGTTTTAAAATAATAAAATTCATATGAATCATGCCAAATAATTTTAGGTTATTGATATGATTATCAGAATCCCACAACTTATTTATTCTTGTATAAATGTGCCTAAGAAATTTTAAAGTGCCTCTGATTATAAGAAAATATTTTATCCACATCCAGATTCCTCAATCATTTTGTTTACAATTGAGACAATTAGGCAGTTTGATGGGTATTATACTTCTAATTGTCTTCATAATATTAAATTAATCATCAATGAACTCCAACATTATCCTCAAAATATTTCTAATATTATTGAAAGCATAAATTTTTTTAACACAATCACTCTTTTAGTCATTTTAGGAATTTATATAACCAACATTATAAATCAACCCTTCCAATCAAGGATGTTGATCTAATCTAAAAATATAATATTCAATCAATCTATTGTTGGCATCAATTTTTGGATATCATAGGTGTAGGGTGTCCACCTGTGATTGACGAAAATTAGTTATCGCGCCATGCACGAATTTGACTCAAATTGACCTGAGCACCTGCGAGCTTGTTCATATGGCCCCAAACGACGAAATGGACAACACAAGTGAGTTTGGAACGTCGATTCCACTTGGAAAAGGCACTCGTTGCGCCACGATTTCGCGTACGGGCTTAAAATATGCATATTATCTTTTTTTTACATGATAGTCGAGAAAGTGGTCTGAACGACCCCGGACGACTAAACGGACCACACCGATGCGTCCAGAACATCAATTTTACTTACGGGACATTCATTTTATCGCAATGACATGTTCGAGCAAAAAATGCGCGGAGGATAATAATATTGTTATAAAAAAATAATAATAAAATATATGTTTTCCTCCCTTTGTTGCTCACGCATGACTTATTTGGAGATTCCCCCTCTCTCCTTTATCTCATAACTTTAATACATATATAAATATATAAATAAATAAATAAATAAATATATATATATAT